TTTTCCATCCGTTTATTGTCTGAACATTAATTCAATTTTTACCAAAATACTACTCATAAATTAGGTGTTATAAATTATAATTGATTATAGTCATTTCGGATTTTTAAGAAACAGAAAAACAACAATTTCAGCTCATATATTTTTATTTAAAGTAATCAAAAAACTAGTATGAATTGAATCAGCTATGGTTCTGTTATACTGTATAGGATAAGTACTTTCTAAAATTAAATTTCAAAATATTAATATCAGGAAAAAAGGTTATTGACAGTAATATCGAATAATACTTCAAAACAATATATATTCATTAATCATAAAAGATAAATATTTTATAACATTTTATCAAAGTTGGTTATAAAATATTGTATTTTATCTAAATTGTTTACACTTCTAAAAATTAATAGCAAATGGTCAGTCAACAAACTAAACGAATTATGATTTTAGTAAATGTCGGTTGATGCGAGGATATTTGATATGATAGAAATATTTGTTTGTAGAGGAATGGGGAAATCTATTTCAGAGTTCAATGGGTAAAATAAGGAGGACAGTTAACTCACTGTGGTAGAGACGAAAAGGAATTAATTCATCGTAAATGAAAATAATATAAGCTGCTGTAAGTAGTAAAATTATATATATGTTACGGTCGATGACGAAAATGATGATGTTTACATTATTAAATCCTAGTCAATGTCGAAAATGACCTTGTAAAATACAAATTTACGTAAATGATGTAAGTATTATTTAACTATTAACGTCAATCCCCAACTCCTGTTGGACATTGTTGTAAATTGTATAATTACCGTGATTATCTAACAAATTATCAAAGGTAGATGATTAATTATTTAATCGATTTTTTTTCTATATCGTATTTGAGCTATTTTAGTATCGTTTGGTTTGACATGCTTGATTCGCAGTTCAATAGTTTACCTATTCAAAATTTCGCAGTTCGCCAATACACGTTTCATTTAGTTTTTAAATATTTACTTTTTATTTACGTAAAATATTAAGTATGGATGTAGATATTGAAAATGTCATAACAGCATGCCTTTCGAAAATAAATAATTAATAACTAACAATAACCAATAACTAATATTATATTATATAATTAATATTTAAAAAATATATACATAATAAATAATTGTAAAATAAAATTATGTGTATTTTCAGTCATTTACAACAATAAACAATTATCTTGGAAACCGATGTCATTGACCGGTAGTTTACAAAAGTAACCTAGCGACTTGGCTTATTACGTTAATGCCCGGTTAATGACGTAGGTAAATGTTCAATTTTCGTCATTGACCGTAACATATTATATATGATGTAAGGTTTTAAGTAGTATAGTCAGTAAAAAATATAATTATACTTAAGTATTTACTAACTTATAAAAAATTTCATATCCAACATTGTAATATGTCAAAAACTATCAAATCATATTGTTTAAAATAAATATATATACGGTGTGTTCAAATTTATAGGTAACAKCAAATACTTCGAATAATTTGATTAGGAGTTTTTATACTGCATACAGGTCTTATGATAAATTAAAAATTATAAATATAAATATAAAATATATAATTATAATTTWTAATTTTTAATTATTTTTTATCGGCGCATGCGCAGTAATATAAAAATTTCTTGAATTGGAACCACTATTTTGGATACCGGATTTAGATTGCTTTATTTTTTTTGAACAACTTTGATCATTACAGTGTGCTGATATCTTCAAAATTGCCATTTTTATGACTGTCGAAAGTTTTAAATTAGTTAATTCGTAAATATCGCATTTTTCAACGTTCTGTCTTAATTATTACACATTAGATATCATAATAATTATTTTATTAAAACTACAAGATGTATTTGTTATTACTATTATCAAAATGTATTATTAAAAAAATATCATTACAATTCATTCAATGAACTGTTCAAAGCTATTGTCATTATTTTCAATACATGCTTCCTTTCGTTGCAGTAGTTCTCTCTGTGTAGCTGTTACTATTTGATCTTCGGTGAGTTCACTACACGCAATGATCATTCTGTTTTTCAAATCTTCAAGATCAATTGGTGGATTAGCATAAACTACTGTTTTTAAATATCTCCATAAAAAATAATCTAATGGTGCAGTTATATCAGGTGATCTAGGAAGCCATTGTACTGGATCATGTGTCCCCATCCATTTATGACCAAAAGTTTGGTTAAGGTATTCTCGGACAATTATTGCATTATGGDCGGGTGCCCCATCTTGTTGGAAAAATAAATACATGTGTATATCTAAGTTGAATTCATCCAAGAATGTTGGTAGTGTTCGACAAAAAGTCTAGTTACCTCCTACCTGTCAGAGTACCGTCATAAAACTATAAAAGTAAGGACCTAATATTCTACCTCATAAAAGCCCACACCAGACATTCGTTCCCTGCACATACTGAAAGTTTGAATCATTTGTCCAATAAAGATTATGATCTGACCAACAGCATTGAAAAATGCCACATTTACGAATTAACTAATTTAAAACTCTCGACCGTCATAAAAATGGCAATTTTGAAGATATCAGCACACTGTAAAGATYTAAGTTGTTCAGAAAAAATAAATCAATCTAAATCCGGTATCCAAAATAGTGGTATCCAAAATATGAAATTAATCAAAAGTGTGCTTAAACATGATTTAGTAAAATTGTTTAAATGAACCACAAAATTAATCAATATTTATGCAACCCGAAATCGATTTATTATTTAACAAAACAAAAAATTTAAATGTTGTACTAAGCTACTGTGTTGAAATTATAATTATGATTATACCAAGTCTAGCACAAAATCGATTCAGTTTTGGTTTATTTATATCCTATAGCATTTCTTTAAAGTAGCAATTGTTTCAAATGATGAACAGACAATTTTCCATAAGTTTTAATACTCAGTCAAGTGTTATTCAACAAAATCTAATCCAGTAGAAATGCGCTAAATAATATATTAATGCCTAGTGATAATATATTAATATTTATACGCAGAAAAACATCAAAGCTTTAATACGGAATGAAGAATTGTCTAATTGCTCACATTTTTTATATTAAAACTATAATTATGATTTTGGTTTTAGTCTTTTATCGTTGTGTTAGTTTTTATTATAGAATATAAAATGATTTACTTTACTATCTTTCTATCATTCAATGTTAATAAAAAAATACAAAAAATGCCCTTTCAGAACATTCATTAAATTTATGGTACATTGTTTATTTTTTTTTTTTATTTTTTTTTTAGGGTTTCTCAATAGACAATTATTTTCCATTATCATTGTCAAGTGACAATTTTATCTAAGTGACCATAAACATACGTTATCGAGTCAATGCCCTCAAATAGAGAATATGATGTAAATGTGAAAATAGATTATTATCAAATATTTTCGACAGGTAGCAAAAATAAATTTAATTCAGAAAAAACGAGTATTAATGCTGRGTAGCTACCCCCTCACGATTTCACAGTCAACTGTACATTTCCGCGCATATGCTTATTGTAACTACTATTATTCCTTGTAATTGTCGAACTATAATAGCTGTAGCTGAAAGTTCTAAATAAAAAAAAAAAAAAAAAAAACTACTATTAAAATTGTATATATTCTAATAAATGTTAAAAAATCTCAAAAAAATATAATAATCACAAAAAAGATTTACTATTCAAAAGGGTTTTTATATTGTGATTAATAATAATTAAAAGTTTAATGTATTTGCAAATATAAAATCAATCCTAAATAATATTTTTTAATTAGCTATTATTTTATATTTTTTTTCACAGTTGAATTTATAACCTAACTTATTTATATARGTACCCACAAATCAACATTTGACTTTAAAAAATTACATATAATAACTGTTTAAAGTGAAAATAGGTTATATAAAAGTACTATAACCGTAGATAGAGATACATATTTTACATTAACACAACATTTTCTCCAATACTAATACTAATACTAATACTAATACAATACTAATACTCGTTTGGATCAATAAAGCAGTATACTTTTATAAATTTGTAATAACTATAGCTTAGCCTATGAACATACTGTGTACACGCGAATTATTAAGATATTCCATTAAATATCAAAAATTGAATAATACTGAAAAAATTATTTTTCAAAACTTTAACACGATGCACAATATTTTATAGCTTCTCCTTTAAATGTAACACGTATTGACGTATAATAGCGTATTCATTGAATACTTGAAATTATATATAAGTTAATATTTATTTGTAACTTCTTGAGTTGCATCACCATTTTTAAATTATCACTTTATGTGTAAACATTRTAATAATATAATTTATGTATTGCTTTGTGTCTGCATGTCTAAGTTTCAATAGTTTCACATCACGTAATGTAATAATGTATCTTAATATTATAAGTACGTGTTAGTTGCATACTAAAAGCTAACCATAGCCGCTTCGTAAGTTTTTACAAATTATTTTTGAGCTAGTTTTATTTTTAGTRGGTACCTACGTAATAGAAAATCTAAACGTGTTTCACTCCTAAAACAGGTCACTGGTCTTGTGATTGTTTGCAGACAGCTATGGTCGATAACACATGACGTTTAGATTATAATTTTAAATACTTATAAACGCATTTATTATTGGTTAAAGAAAGGCGGACTGTAGACGTATTGCGACTCTGGTAAACAAATAAATCATGCGTGTTAAATTAACAACTTTCAAAATTGATAAATYAAAAATCTACTTTCGTTGTTAAGAATGCATCATTTGTTTGACGAAAAAACGTTATAGGAAAACATGAATTATTTATAATCAATAATGTAACATCAATTGTAAATATCTATTTTATCAAACCCAATATATTCTGAAAATTACACKATCGTAAACGACTACAAAAACCCACAAGTAAAAAATGGCTAAAAATACCTATAGAATATCATGGCAGGAAAATATCTCTTACCACTCGATCAATGATGCCCTATTTATAATTTTGGCGTCGGTGGTACGTTTCATTGATTTTCATTGTTTCAGCATAATACACAGCGACCATGTCACTGCAGAATAACCTGTACGACAACGGCGGTGGTGGCGGGGGTGGCGGTGGCGGCAAGAGTGGTCAGCTGAATTTGACTGCGGAAAATGCGTGGAACAACGACTTTATTATGCCTAAACGGGATCCTCTGTACATAGTCGTGCCCATGACCATCATGTACTCGGTGATATTCGTGACAGGCGTCATAGGCAACTCGATCACTTGCATGGTGATCGCCAAACACAAATACATGCACACGGCCACTAATTACTATTTGTTTAGTTTGGCCGTGTCCGATCTCATATTGCTAGTGTCCGGGTTACCGCAGGAAATGTGGTCCATTTGGTCCAGGTGAGTGATTACGGTACAAACATTTKTAAAAATTAAAATTAAAAAATCTTCTGAGTTAGACTTAAATAAAATCTAATATGAATTTTATGACATTATTAGATTTCSGTATTARGTTTTGTATTATTTTATCAACGAAAATCTATTAAAAACGATATTGTATGATGTGATMAATCGTTTTGATGTTAGAACTGTTTCAGTCAACTATTTAGCCTGCAGGTTTCCAACTTAACAGTCTGAACTGTAAATCGGTATTAAAAATAACAAACTACTGAGTCGTAAATAGGCAAGGGTATTAAGTAACATTCTGCAGTTTTTGGCGAAAAAAGAATATATATATATGTGTGTGATATATAAAATGCAAGATGTGGGTAGGTATGGATGGTGATGTCCAGAGTGCGATCTGATCTAATTATTTTGGCAAAAGTATAACCAAATCATAACCACGTCTGCAATCATAAGTTTTATAGACAGAATCGATTATCGATTATTATACCTAATATAGTACAATCGTAAAATTATATTATATTCGTAGTTTTAGTTTTTTACAACAACGATTTTACAGAAAGTGGTATGGCACAGTATTCGCAGATTTTGTCGATTCTTCTAGATATGAAATATATACATCTTTTGTTACGATGGATTTATTGAAAATTGAAAAAAGTATACATCGATTGTGTCATAAAAGTATTATAACAAAAATATACACTTTAATATGTTTAGGTATTTTAATTAAATATACAAAATTTGTTAGTGTTAAAAATAAATCTAACTAAATTGTAAAACAAATACAAGAGTAAAAGTTCTTATTTGTCTTAGTTAAAATAAATGATTGGAAATTAATGTTGAAAAAATCAATCTAAATCTTAAGTACATCTTGAAGTAAATACGTTTATGGTTCATTAGTAAATTGTTTTATTTTTGTTAGTRGAAACTTACTGACTTCACAAATTATCGTTTATTTTTCAACTTKTACACTTAAGTAAATTATAACATTTTTACTCTTTAGTACTTCCAATATTATTCGACGCAATTGATATATWTACCTAACCTTTTTGAATAGCATATTATTTTTATTTTTATCTCTGATTTCTGGCGCAATTGACATGTACTTTGGTGAGGATACCGCATTTTTATTATMTATACATTATTAAATACTTCTGATCTTTTTTCTGGACGTAGTTGAAACATTAAATAAGAGTGATATTTTRAGAGGATATCCTGTAATGCGTTGAAAATAGCATATGTATTATTATTGTGTCATGTTTCTGACGGTGACTACCTACGCTACGTTATAATAATATTATTATAGTCCGTGTTGGTGATGAATTATAATATCGAATTCTATAGCCAAYCAGGCATAGACGCATAGTTAACTTTGGATAAAACGCAATGTTATTACAAATCTGCTATCACTCAGATGGAAATATGAAAATTATCAGTTTTCAGGTGCGTCGTGATTCTTCGAACGTAAAAGATTTGATTCGTGTATGCTGCATACCATATGTATTATGTATGATATATTAACCACCATCTTTGTATTATAAGCTGAGTACTATATTGAAGCCTGAAATTCGTTATCTAAGAATTGTTTATCTTTACAACATTTATATGGATTCAAAATTCTTTGTGCATACCTACAGACTAAGGTTAGGTATATTAAACGCCATATTATATTCTACATATTATTTATCTCTTTGATAACAAACTGTTAACTAAAATGTTGACACAAAGACGGCGATCTAGTAATTATATCTGTATCTGCAGTGATATATTAAAATGTATTATACTATAATATTTTTATACGATTCGTCGAAAGCTATAATAGACCATTTGTGCAGAGAGGCTTCATACATTGTAACACAACTACAGGGTGATTGATTTATCATAAAACACTCATTATTTCAAAAAGTATTGACTTTTTCCAAAATATTTTTTTACATGGTTTCAAGTTGTTAAAAAACCAACGTTTTTATTAAAAATTATATTTTTAAATATTTTTTATCCTTATCATTTTTTAAGGTTTTACTTTTTTGAATGAGACAAGATAGAGTTTTAATTTCATATTCCAAAGCAGAATATTTTTCTAAGTATTTTGATACATAGAAATCGAATTTGGGGCTAGTAGTTTATGAGTTATAAGTATTTAAAGTTTAGACAAGCAGAGTAGTGGACAAACATTTTGCGGGATAACTCCGTGCCACTCCACTCCGCCAATCAAAACTTTAAATAAATACTTATAACTCATAAACTACTAGCCCCAAATTCGATTTCTATGTATCAAAATACTTAGAAAAATATTCTGCTAAATTACTAAATGCTATTCATACTAAATTAAAACTCGATGTTGTCATTCAAAAAAGTAAAAATAATAAATAATTATAAGGATAAAAAATATTTAAAAATATAATTTTTTGATAAAAACTTTGGTTTTTTAACAACTTGAAACCATGTAAAAAAATATTTTGAAAAAAGTCAATACTTTTTGAAATAATGAGTGTTGTTTGATAAATCAATCACCCCGTATAGTGACACAATTTCAAAAGCTTGCCCTTCAATCGTAATATCATATTATTCCTTATTTACATTATATTGTATTTAAGATGAAACGATCGAGATGGTTCACATGCTTGGTACCTAATGGTACCTACACTAAAATACTAAGAAGGTATACACTACAACAGGTACTTGGAAATCCCAGTAGTATTGATTAAGTGATAATCAAATTAAATATTTATTACATAAAGTCATTTAAAACTAACCTAAAGTGTCTATGCGTTCAATGCCGTCACTGAAGGAACTATAATTTAATTGATAGGAGACAATAATTAATTGAGGGCTCAGATTTTATAGCATATTTTGCTAATATTGTAGCCAAGATGCAGATAAAAATAGTTTATACTGAATTATACATTTGTTTTGTGCACCAGGGACTTCAAATATAAAATTATATTTTCAATTTTTTTTTTTTTTTTTATACATATTTAAAAAATGTTAGGCTTTTAGTTTTATAACATGTGGTATGAAAAATAAAAAATAAATAGTAATTTTATATATAATTATATTTTATTTGAATTCACGGGAAAAATATTAAATACTCACACTTTTGTTCATATTAAAATCTGTTTTTAAGTAGTCTGACGAATTCGCCTATCGAATAGTAAACAATTATGACTCCTTATCGATTTTACGGCTCGTATTTTTGCTATTATTCATGTCTTTAAGGCATATTATAACGTTTATTTTAATATTTTTTAGGACATATCACAGTACATATTTCAGTTATATTTAGTGATATAAAATCTGATCTCTGCTTATTGCTCTCTGTTTCTTCTCAATTTGATATTATTGTTAAAAATCAGGTAATCTTTTGTACATTTATCTCCGAAAGAGAAATTACAATTGCATAAATAACAAATTACAAATTTTAYTGACGCCCGGCTCGATAGAATTTTGTTGCCCTAAGCGGAATATAATTCAAGGACTTGGAATTTCACTCTTATTGTCAATAGAAATYACGTGTAATCATTAAATTATTATAGATGAGTATAGTTTAGTCTTTAACATAATACCATAAACTGATAGACATTTTAAACTGCCAATACATCTGTAGTATATTTTATATTGCTATCCATTTTACATTCAAAGAATAAATGCAATTTATCTGCAAATGATGATGTAAAATTTCAGTAATTTATTATTCGACAAACTTCTAAAAAGACATTTTTGAAATTTAAGAATTTAATCTAATTTTTAACGAAGCTTACTTTTTCACCTGAGCTGAAAAAAAATTAAATATTAAAAATATACTGTACAAATTATTGTATTGATTTAAATATTTTGTTTTTTAAAACAATTAACTAGTATATTCAGGAACAATGATAATATTTGATATTTGGGTGGTAGTATACCATTCACGGTATTGCTATTTTATGACAACAGAATTAATGTAAATAAAAACAAATAATACCATTGTTCCCAACATAATTTATACCTATTCATAAGCTACATTATTATCTGACAAAAATAAGCTATTTTGAAATAATATTTAGCCAGTAACTGGTGAGTAACTGAAACAAAAATATTCTGCTCGAAATATAAACACGAATCTGTATAATCTTCAAATGTCAGTCTACATGGTAAACCTGCAATGATTCGTATTCAATAAACGTGTTGACGATAATTTACAGATATCCATACGTATTTGGAGAGATATTTTGTCAACTCCGAGGGTTGTTTTCCGAAATGTCTGCCAACGCTACCGTACTTACTATAACCGCGTTCACGGCCGAGCGGTACGTGGCTATTTGCCACCCATTCATGGCGCAGAGCATGTCGAAACTTTCAAGAGCCGTAAAACTCATCATAATCATATGGCTAGTCGCAGGGTTGTTTGCTGTACCCCAGGTGAGTTCCATTATTTTCAAATATAATATCAGAAGATAACACTTAATGCCAAATAATGAGAACGGGAGCAGCACGATATTGTCAAGAGACGACAATATTATGGTCATGATTATWCTTGTCATCGTGAAATATAATGCAATAGACGGACGTAAGTTGTGCACCTGTGCTCAACTAACAGAGGTATAATTGTAAATTGCGCCTCAATAAATGTTGGGTATAAATTATTGTATCCAATAGAGGTCATTGTCCAATTTTTATRTATGTAGCRAATAATTATGACCAGATGTGATTTGAAATATCTAATATTATTTTTATAATTGCGTTTAGCATTATTTAGGGAAATGGATCGTCGGAAAGTACCGCYTATATAGTAATTTACAAGAAATAATAATCAATATATACRAATATACCATCRATGRCAATAATCCGGAATTACGAAATTAAGACTATAGCTTAAAAAAGAGTTACGAACTACGGYTGTACTAGTGTGCGTCTATAGTGTATCAMTCCAAAGCAAATATACYAAAAATCCACAAAGATTCTGTTCATATCGTACAATTAAAAAAGATTTTTTTCAATATAAAACAATTTTCTTTCATGCTTCCATATTATTATATGTTGCTAGCATTTGTCAGTCATAGGTAATAATTTTAGAAAAATTTATAGTTAAGCCAATATATTGGTGATTCTGAGTTCTAAGTCGAGTCAACGTACGGTCACGTATAAAGTTGTTATCCGCTGGTCATTTTTTAAGCCGTTTAATTAATGATTTAGATCGACAGTTAAAAATTAACCGAAGCACTGCAGTTAAGAATGTTAAGATTGATCGAAGCGCTGTATACTAATTGAGTCCCTGACTCCCTGTACCCAAACGAGGAAAAAAAAAATAATAAACTAATAGAGTCCCGGGTACAAACGAGACATATACTAATTGAGTCCTAGGATTATTTTGAGTAAAATATAAAATCAACCATCCACAGTACAGACATAGCGGAAATTATGCCACACAGCCGTGCCGCRCGTCAAAAWTCGTTCTAGATGGATATACCTATACATATAATATACGTATAATTTTTGTTTATATTTAAATTATTTAATGCTATGTTTTATTCAGCTCATCCAAGCATTTACCAATTTATAAACATTTTGTTGAATGTACAATACTAAACATATATAAAAATTGGAAGTGTTCATATAATGTATACCTACAAGAAATTATCTAAAAATAAATCAGTAATCAAATGCAGGTGTTACAATCGAGACAACAATACCTAACTAGATTTGAATACATACAATGCTTATCTCATAMATTTTTACCAACATAAAAAATGTTATTTTATARTTTATATTTATTTAATTTATACAATTTACTTGTAAATCATTTTAACCATACCTGTAGAATTTTTCATCACAGACAGTCCTAAATCTGTAAAAATGGAAAGGAAATTTTTTTTTTAATTTGACAGAACTTAGTAGTATTAAAACAGGACTCAATTAGTATTATTTATACATAAAATTCTACTGGACTCAATTGRTATATAACCTAACCCTAAAATAACCCAGSRCTCAATTTATCAAAAGTTTATACTGGGACTCAGTTTGTATGCAGCCGAACGAAAGGATAAACTGCAACGTTTGTRGAATTTATAAAACGCAAATTAAAATTTTTCTGGTCAAAATATATTATTTTTTTTAGTGGACAAGACATATTTCATTATAATACTACCTATGTTATTTTGTAAAAATAACTTTCTCTAAATAAGGTTGACAGTATCTCCTAAAGTTTTAGTATTATTACAAAATCCACTATTGTTGTATATGGTATTTAATTTTCTCAGATAATCTTTGTATACCTACCCCTATTGTTATAAGCCTACAACGTTTTGGGAAAATCCCTTTAGGTTGATAATTAATTGTCGTTGGTATCTAATCGGTGGATCATTTCAACATACAGCTGGTTGTTTATTTGTTTACTTTGTAATTTTATTCCACATAAATACAAAATTAATTGTACAATTTAATTTAAATTATCATTATCATGTAAAAACAAGCCAATGGTCACGTTACCGAGGCATTTCCCTAAAAAAAAAAAAAAAAAAAACGAATTAATTATTTTGGTTGAATGTTGTTGATAGTTCTATCGTTTGTCTAATATAATATTACGATTATAAATTAGAGCTAATTTAACGGTAAATTTATATTACTTCATAGTATTGTAAAGGTGCTTAACTTGTAAATTTGTATGATTTATTATGACAGATTTGTGTGTTGTAAAAAATAATACAWCGTAAAATRAAAATGTTTTTTGCTATATTAAAAACGAGTATGAACCACTGCAGTATTGTAAGCAAAAATAAAGTCTAAAATAATATTATGCTGTATATTTGGAGCTCCTATTTATTTTTTCCACTGATAAGTATTATGCTCTTAACGAGTTATATGATGAATTTATATATATTTTTATCTACTTCAAAGTTCATACAAAGTTCATTATATTTTTTAATTCAGCTAAGTATTTATATTTTAATTACGTAGAGAATAACATTTTTCTTAATCCAGAATGAAAAATATTGGTTAGTAATTTTAAAATACTTATTGTTATTTTAAACAAATAAATCCACCTACCAAAAATTATATTTAACTGTCAAAAACATTTATTTTAGAGCAATTTAATAAAATTAATCAAACCCACATTCTTATGTAGTTGCTTGTAATTCATGGCTCGTGACAAACATTTTACATTTATACGACACATAATTTAAGCTACCTAGTCGMTGTACATAATAATATTTTAAGAATTTCATATACAAATTACATATTTTAATTACATTTTGTAATCACTGTRTTCAGTGAAAATTATCAGTACAATTTAAAGTAATTTATTCATTTCACAGTTATTTCGAAAAAATTTTTAACGATATCTTATTTTTAGTAAACACAGAAATATTTTATCTTAATATATATAACAGCATATTTTTTCATTTTTAATTATAAACACTATATTAAACATGTTAAGATCAAAACAAAGCATTATTTTATTTATTATATTGGTAAGACATGTAGGTTACTTAATTTTTTAAAATTTGTAAATTATGAATATATTATAAGAATACATCAAAATAAAATTTAATTTACGGCGGCTTAATCACCCATTCATTCATTTATTTATTTTTTTTTTATGTACACAATAAATATTTCATTTTCGTCATCAATATGGATATACTGATTCAAAAATATGTAATAAGAAATTATGTAAAACCTCATAATGTATCAAATATGTTACGTTAAAAAATCTATTCATTATACCTAGTAAATTTAACTTCGCATAATATATAATAAAAAATTACTTTTTAAAAGCCCTACAATTTAATTAAAATATATTTTAGCTTGATACAAAACACATTATAGATATTTATTGATATGAGAATTTGGGAATACAAAATTCATTTTCTACCCTATATTGATAAAAGTACAAGCATAATTATTCTCATAAGATTTGAATTGAAACACATGACTTTTAGGGGTTTTGGTGAAAAAATTTATCACGATAATTTCAAAAAATATATTGCACTGTAAAATATTTACAAAATTTACCTACCTAATAAATCCTGTATATTATGTTTTAAATATTTAAACTGATTAATATTTTTTTTTTTATTTATTATATTTTAAAATAAACAATATATTACATGTTATTACAAGTTTATTAATATAATTAAGAATTTATACATTAAATATGGTGTGATCAGAAGATACGTGATGCGTATGTTAATTTATTAAAAATTGGGAATTGGATTTTGTTTATAAGGCATGTTAGAGTAGCTAGGAGGGGGTTTAGGACTAATTTTAACTCGTTAAGGAAATTAGTGACGATTTACAGAGGTTGATCGGGTGGTGGAATGTTCGCTGTGGCTTCGGCTTATAAGGGCTTTTATTTTGGATTTGAGCTTAGCGCGTCATGTCCTCTTGTGTGAGATGCAGGTGGTACATCATGTGTTTGAATGTGCTGATGAACTCTTTCTGTCGTTCTGGTTTTGGATTTAATGTGGCTTAATATTTTTTTAAAGGTTTGACATCCTTTATAATTGGCAGTGTGGTTTCCCCYACAGCTTGCACATTTTGCTGGTTTCTCCAGTTTTTTTGTGTAATTTTCGGTGTAGTGTTCAGCTCCAAATTTCACGCATCGTGGTTTGTGGAAACAGTAGTTGTGTGTGTGTCCATACTTTTAGCAGTGCTTGCATTGGGGAGGGCCAAGTTGTTTCTGTGTGTATTCAAATTTTACAATTGAGTTTAATATTTTAGTGATTCTGAATATTTCACGGTGTTGCGAACTAGACTGATGTTAAATAGTAGAAGTGGCAATTTGTTCGCACGGTATTTGTAATGCTGATTACTTCATGAGGTCACTTAGACAGTTTTCGATATCTGTGGTAGGAGTCGTATGGTGGAGGTGTCGTAGTACGACACGGAATGGTTGAGAGGATCCGGGGAGATAAGAGTGGTATCGTGATCGGCGTCTATTAGATATGACTTAATTATAGCCATGAAGTTGACCCGTGTGTTTGGTCGTATGACTAACCTAGATCTGATCGCTTTACATGTGTACCTCTTTGGGCCCACAAATCACAATGCGAATTAGGTCTTTGTTTAATGTACTAAAATCGGTTACGCGTTTGTTAGGACGATATTCGGAAGTTTAATATTACTTTGTTTTGGTGAGGTTTCGCCAGATTGTGTAACGAATTGAACTTCATTTGTTACAAAGACGTTGTCTTATTCATCCGTTACCTAGGCTTGGAAACGATTTAGTTAGGTTAGACGAAAAATTTACTTTTTTTTATCCTCATGATTTGATTAGTTAGTAGAAGTCKACGATAGAGCTCTCTCTTTGATGAATTTTCTATCGTTTTATTTTTTTGAATTTTGCTCCTGTTTACAATGACAATTGGTGAGACAGTATACTCCATTTGAGCGTTTTTCATGACTCGATTAGGAATAACTGGTTTGATACGATAAGCATTTGCATTACGGAACTCACGTGATATTATCGTTTTAGCTGTCCGAGCCCGGGCTGATTTTTTAACTTTAATTGGGATTCAAATTTTATAGATTGGCGCTCAGTCTCAGAAAATATTTTTAACATTGAGATTTTCTGACCGTAAATCCTAGATGGTTTATTTACTAAACCGGTGTTCTGAAAATCTGACACATGTTTACTCCTTTATGTGTTTATTCTATGCATTACAGACAACGATTAAGTAATACAATATTAAAAATAATAAATACAAAATTGGTATTATGTATGCTGTATCCAAAATTTTTTTTTTATTGATATCAAGAACCCGGCATAGGTGCCTATTAGTTATTCAACATTTTACATCTTACATGAAAGCTTTTACGATTTTTTATCAAAACCTATTATTCAAAATKTTTTTTTCAATCAACGTTTACGATTTCAGTAGTGACACTTTTATTACTAGGAATAATATTGAAAATACAATAGTACAAATACAATCATATCACCTGCATTAATTTATGTAAAATAATTTACCTCATAGGAAACATTTGCCTCAAATCGATTTTAAGAGTTTTAATTTTTTTGTCAGAATTAATTTAGTCATAAGTGATTAACTTACGAGTTGTCGACGATTTGACATCTATTTGAGACTTGCAAATAAAGATTTTATTTTCTTATTCATTAAAATACAGTTRATTTCTTGAAAATATGYGTAATGTAATAAATATTTTATAATGGCCGAATTCTACTGATAAAACCATTATGAAACCATAAACTTAAGTTAAAAATCTTTTTTTATTTAACTCGACAGTGGTCAAATTCAAAATCGTGTGATAGGAAAAAATAACAAGTCCGTTTATTACCACTAAAATCCGTCGAAACGTCAAATCCTCAGGCGTTGCAGTTCACCGTCTCGTCGTGGAACGGTTCGTCAGAACTGATGCAGTGCAATATCCGGAGCATACCACTGATGGACACAGACATCGAACTGTCAACCGTGTCGTTCACGCTGTCCACGCTGCTGTTTTTCTTGCTGCCAATGACACTGATAACCGTACTATACGCACTCATYGGACTCCGCCTYCGTCGCTCCGACAAGCTGAAACGCACCATCACGGTACGATCGACCCACGGTGAGAAAAAAATTTCATCACCTGAGTACAGGGCCAACTCGTCGCCAAAAGTCCTCAAAATGCTGGGTACGTACATGAGCGTTTCTATTATATTACGTTCTAACCTAACCGTTGCATAAATATTAAATATATATATATATATATATTATATAAGTATTATGTACCTATAATTTATCTTACATTATACAAAGGTATGTATCCATATCAGGTATCTTTATTTTTATTTTTGTTACACTTCGTCATTTGTCTCTAACAAATATTTTTGGATTTTAATATTGTCATAGACTATACTTGTAATGATCTAAGGATTATAGTTTAYTATGTCTTATAGCKATAATGATGTAATTACGAATATCTTTAATGAGTACTGACATGCATACTAAACTAATACACGTTTAACAATCATTAAGAGGTTAATATTTTTGTTTGACAAATTTTGAACTTGTTGTCGAATAGTCAATTGATAAATACTTTCAACTTAGGTAGTAGTAAAATGGACCAAATAATGACATTGATTAAATTCTAACCAAGCCTTGAGGCGACGCAAGTTATTAAGCTTTATTTGTTATTTAATTAATCTAACGTTGTTTTGTAATATGATTTATTGCTTTGTATTTTATCTACATTTGTATATTAGAATTTTTAATATATAAATTTGCCTGTTTGGGTGCTTATAAATATTTATTAATTATAATTGATTTTAAAATAATTCTTGATTACTTACAACGCACACACARTTCAAGTATAATACCAACCAACTATATAATATTACTGTTTTCAGTTTTCAGTTATGTCTACATAATCACATCTTAAGAGCTCACTTTTGTCCACTCTTGTTTCTTATAAATTGAATCTTAATCTAGTTTTTATTAATTTGCAATCAGTTRTTTTGCAACATAATTGTTTTTGGACTACTAAAACTTACTGGCTAAGACTTATTGAATAAGATTTAACTAGGTATATGAAAAAAAATTTCAAAAAAAAATTCTCATAGATATAGGATTCTACCAGGATTGTTATATTAATTGCTTAATATTATATATATTGGAACGAAATTCGTTTGCAGTGAAAAAAGACTTTCTTACCAGTAACAATACATATAAAGGTATTTATCTGTTACCATATAATTTTAAAATTTTAAACGATACTTTAACACACCAATATATGCGGTGTTTTGTATGGTCACCATTTTATTTTTTTCATTAACTACCTATTTTATATCGATCTGTGTTATGGTAGGTATAAAAACAGTTTCTTCTTTAATGGGTTTCTTTTATTGTTAAGATAAATTACGGTAAATCCTGTATAGTTATATCTAACAACTAATAAGATTTATAATGACCCCTAGATTACAGCCTTTATTAACAATTTTTAACYAACTATACTGTTCGTGTTATGTCCAAATACTATTTATTTGCTCGTAGCTATATGAATGTATTATATTTTTTATGGTTTACACATGTTTTCATGCTAACAAACMCGTCATAAATTCACAAACTATTAAATAAATGAATTGTATTACGGATTAAAATAGGTTTCAGGTTTTGAATACAAATATGTTTGTATGAAAACTGATAAAAAATAATGTTATATTCTTCCTGAAACTAACTTATTTTATGATGAAATATTAAAATGTAGATTTTAATAATGCATTCCAAAAAAAAGTAACACAATCACGATTCCATTGCATCTAAAATGAAAAAAGGATAAAAAATCTTTTTCGGAGTACCCATTACAGTCATATTGAAACTATTTATTATATATTTGATATTTATACATCAACATTTATAAAAAAGAATTTTAAATCATGATATACAAAGTCGAAAAAAGTTTATAATAACCCATAAAAAAYCACGAAAGAGAATTAATAAAGCTTAGTGAAATCTATATAAAATATATCGTTTTAAATAAACAAAAAAAGACTGAAAATGAATATAGCCTTATATAAATATGATACATCTCACATGTTTTTGTATATGTAGTACATATTATTTTATATCTAAGTTTTAGCATAAAAAAGCATACCAAATCTAAAGAATATCCAATATAAATTCAATAAAATTTACAAATTTAAAATTAATACATACATGTTAAGCAAATATATTTATTTTTTTAAGCATTAAAATTGAAATCAATATTCACTCTTAATTTGTATGAATATAATTTTTTCGTCAGTTTTGTAATTATAAAATTCTWAACTAATAATTGTTCAAACATTTTAAACAATAATATATGAGGTCATGTTTTCAGTCCAAAAACTAACTCATTATTTAAAGGCAATAACTAGTACCTATGTTAGTTTAGTTTAGATATTTGAATAAAATTTAACAATTATAGTTATTTTCTATTATTTATTGTATATTAATAATTATTTCACAACTACTTTAGGTTTAAATTAAATTAATTAATTACTATTTWAWATATAGGTACCATGATACTAAAAAACTATGGATATTATATTTTATATTATTATTTTTTTTTTGGATTTAATCAAAATATATTTGAAGAATTTAGTGGATTTTGATTAGGTAGATACCTAATTCAAAAATTATTATTAGTAAAACACAAAACAATTAGATAATTTAAAATAAAATTTGATAAACAAGTTTTATCAATCAATAAAAACATAATATTACATTTTGATTATCAATATTTAAAGTTGTTTTTTTTTTATAGAATTATTGAATACAGTTTTATAATAAATTAATATCTATGACCATTAATCGATGATCATATTACGATAATATATCTAAAGAAAATAGTTGACATTGAAAATTAAAACTGTAACTTATTTTAGTTGGTARCTTGATAAACAAATTCTAGTATAAACTTCAAACCATCAACTATGATTTTCTTCTAACAATTTAAATTATTTTTAAATTATTACTATTATTATTACCTATGAAATAATAATATCTATTCGGTTATAAACATATTAACAATATCATATTTAATTAATTAATATTTTCAATATCAATATGGATTATGGGTAGAAATTTAATTACCTATATTGATACTAAATACTTAWAATAATAATAATGATAAAAATAAACATTTCTCCGTAAAATTTGTATTTTATGTGTCTACATTTTATATAGTGCACAAAGTGCATAATCTTTCAAGTCAATTTGGAAACTAATTTTTACCATAAAACAACGGTTATTGTCAAAATAAAGTGCTTTTTGTCTTAAGAAAAAATTTWATGTAATTTTATGAAGAATAATAAAACGTTGAACGATCTTATTTTAAATTAATTTATATTTTTTTTTTATATATATTAAGAAGGTAAGTAAATTTAGAGTAGTAAAACATTTGAGTATCGGAATTTAAATACTTTTCAAGGTACTAATTTATTGTAATTAGGTACTGAACACTTTTTTACACTTGATTATTTATCGAAGTAGGGAATTCAAATAGACTATCATGATATTAAATACAGATATAATTGAATACCTACTATTTAATTTATTTAGTAGGAAAGATATTTCCATATTGAGYCAGTGAGATCACTTKAATTAAAAAACAAAAATCGATAACGATTTAAAAGGTGAATGGTATAGTTCTATTGCTCTAACATTGGTTAGAATTGTATACTTTGTTACAAGACAATTTTTTGAATAGCTACGTTGAATATAAGTAWTTATTGTCTGCACTTGATTATTATTCATTATATTACAGTATGATATAGATTATTTTCTATCAAGTTAAATCGTTTATGTAGTTTAAGATTATAATCAYCATCAACTAAAAAAATACTAATTTCTAATCAAACTTCATATAGTAATTACTATATACTTTTAAAAAAAACCTKTGTATGCAAGACTGTGAGTAAGCACAGGCGTATGAAGTGACMTTTCTTTCGTGGTCTTTAGTTATATCAGGCTTTTCTAAAAACAAACAATCTCAGGACCTATTTAAATCGGTATGTTTTAGGTTTCAATTCCGTGTTATAAAAATAATAATTTATTTGTTTGATTATTTTCGTTTATTCCATAATTATTTGAATTACTCTCATTTCATTGTAGATTAATTTTAGACATTATTTTTTTTWAATATTCAAGTTAAAATAAAATTACCATTGGATTTATTTTATGTTATATCAGTATAAGTAATATTGTATATTATATTATAGCCTGTAATCGTTTCGATATTTATAATTATTATTACCATATTATCTAACCGMTTGTTATCTTTAGATCAAATKRAGAAGGGAAAATATATTTAAACCTGTAAAAATATTTGGTTGTATATCGGGATTTTTAAAAATCAATCATCTCGTTGTATTGAGATTTATTTAACATTGTTAAAATAGCTTTTGGGCATGGGACTTCTTTGACTTTCGTTATAACGGGATTTTTTGTTGTATCGATATTCATTGTAACAGGAACTTAATTATACTGTATTATACTAATGGTTTCATAATTTTCAGTGGCCGTCGTGGTGGCGTTTTTCATCTGTTGGGCGCCGTTTCACGCACAAAGGCTTATTGCCATATTCGGGTCAAGTCACGCATCGTCTGGCAACTTGGACGCGGAAGATATACCGTTTCTGCATCAGCTGTACGGTATTTCCACGTACATCTCCGGAGTGCTGTACTATGTGTCCACCACCATCAATCCAATACTGTATCACATCATGTCACTGAAATTCCGAGGAGCTTTCAAGGTATGTAGRTAGTCACCAACGTAACCACTCGGGTCCTTGACGCGGGATTTGTATATTATAATATATTATGAAATGATTCAATACCGATGCCAAGAGTATATTAGCTGTGTAATTAAGTAGCTATACCTATAATTACACATTAATAATGACTGTGAAGTGGGAAATTCAATAATATAACGAGATTATTATTATAAATACAACTATRTGTTATCCACTGTTATTACCTAATAAACTAATAATAATTCACTATATAGTTGCTAAACTAATGAAACAACTAATTAGTTCCATCGACTAAAATAATGATTTCAACGTACCTCATAACATTGGGTTTATATTGTATAATATTATTTAAATGTTAATGTTTATTTAATATTAACTTTTGAGAAAATTTTTAAAAAATAATAATAATAAATGTACTAACTTACGTTTAATTAATTTTAGGATGTACCAAACGCAAAATGCAGATTACCTATCTCAGTGATTTTAATATGTATRTTATGCTCCATTATGCTACGTAAATATGTAATTTTATGTACTCTGGAGATGGAACTAGGTATACCTATTCGCTATGCTACTGTCATTGATCACTCTTCCTTAGGTATAGTTCAATACCTTCCTATACGGGACAGCATACAATATGCATGGCTATTTAGTATTTTTACAACTAATATTCCACAATTATATTTATTATTTAGTATTTTTGAGAACTTTTAAAAACAAAATAACCATATTTGACAATTTAAAATGGCATCGAATATAATATTATTGTATACTACGTTAAAAGTTCTGGAAACACTCAATAATTGCTACCAAAAACACAATCATCCAAAAAAACAACTATAAACTAAAAGTTCCGTACTCTGTTTATGTTTTTTCTTGTTTGAATTATCTATACCTAACACCTAAGTAATGAATTGTTGTTTATTCGCTACTTGTATACAGTTTCAAATGTGTAGAMCCATGTAACAAATTATAAGAGTATAACCAATTGAACAGGTACCAGATATTTTTTCTCTCTAAAATATATCAAACAACCATAATATAAAATCATTACCTTAATGACTGAAAAACTAGTAACTCGGAATCAAATAAAGGTTCAAAATATAACCCCTCCCCCTCCCAAACACAATTCCTGGCTACGTACTGAAACAGTATATAATTTTGGTACCATGATTAATTATTCATACTATGACTTATTATTCTTCAATGAATAAATTATATAAAGCTCTTTTATTTTTGATATTCTATCGAGTATAGATAATGTGCATATTTTATGTTAAAAAATGCGTTATTACTTATAAGTTATAAAATGTGCTTTTTTATATAAAAATAAATTCAAATGGTGTACAGTCGGTTTTAACACAAAAAATATATATGCTAACTAAACGTATGACAAAAATTGTTAATATTATATGATAATTTATTAGTTTAAAAAATACACTCATGTTAGCAAATTTTCATAAATCATTGGTTTTTTAGAGTTATTACGTTCCAAATTAATTTAACCAAAAAATATTGAATATATAAAAAATTCTAAACAATAAACTACTTGACTTAGATAAATTAATTTTACCATAATTGTTCTTATAATCAGGTTCCAAAGTAAGACATTTTGAATTTATTCAAAAAAATGTTTGTGAATTTTTAAGTTTTTTATATTCAGTATTAAAAAATAAAAATAAAATGTCTATTAAATACGTAGCGCAAGTGTCAATGAATTATATAGAAAAAAACAATTTTTAAATATTTAATACAACCAAAGTTATTCCATGTGTCAGATCTTCATGAGACATCCTGTTCCTATTGTTCATTGCTAATCTTGAAGAGGTAGTAATAAACCGAATTATTTATGCATAGTTTATATTTAAATTATTACAATTTATAACATTATAATATTATAATGAACCTATATATTTCATGTTAGATGTTTAGTCATTATAAAATTGAGCCATATATTAAAAAATGTAACCAGTGGATCTTTATATTTGAAAATGTTTATAAAAAAAGTTGTCAAGTAGTTATTGGCACATAATAAAATATATAAAGCTTTGGCCTATGAAAATTATTCTTATCTTTAAAACTCTTCCTAGTTCTCTTTTATTAAATTTATTATAGCTTAAATATAACATTTCAATGATAAACCTTGTCAACAATGTTATTTTAAAATTTTAATATTTTAAGCCACTATAAAATTTAATCTATGAGTTATAAGTAACTCATGACTCCATTCAAAATCATTTTGTTTTGTTTACTTATCACTTAATCAGTTATCATACATAAATGTATTTCAAATTTTAAATCATCATTATTACAAACCACAAATAATTAGAAATTATTTAAACAAATACAAATTTCACTTAAACGACTATAGTATAATCTAATAATGTGTTTTCACTTAAAAACGATTAAATATAAAAGCTTTTTGTTAACAAAAACAAGTTATGAATAGTGAATTAATTTTAATAACAAATGGTGAATACATAATTGTTGTTTTAACTTGAATCAATCAATATTTTGCAATATGTAAAACTTTGAAGAGGCTGTTAAAATATTTTCGTCTAATAATTCAATATCCATGCGCAATAAACAATTCATAAGTATTTTTTTTACTACTTGATCGCGAATACCTATATCTGAAATCATAATAAGAAAAATGATCATCGAYACCGAAACTTAATTTAAATATCAGGTTTCAGCTAATTATAAACCTGTTGATGGCAACAATGAATTATAAACTTAATTTGAATTCTAATACTTTTTTATTTTACAAAACTATATTATATGGAATAGTTTATGCTTTTATTGTAATAAATAAATGGTGCTTAGGAACTACGAATATGGCGGAATATCTATGTATTATCTTTAATAAAATATGGTATACGTTTCGTTGCAGATTTAACCAAAATATAGCTATCTCTTACTAAGCTAATATTAAAGGTAATTTAAAAATAAGTGACACAAAAATATATTATATACGAAACTGGGTTTAGTGTGTTAAATCTGTTTTCTACATGTTCATCATCTTTAGTCTGATCGTAGTCAGCGTTACACTGATATCCAGAGACATTGGGCGCCGATAAATACTACTAACAAATGTAGGTATCTACTAATTTGGCAATCTACGATAAAGACAATATTATTATTCCTTAACTGACAACTTTAGATATAGATTATTTGTTATACATCGTTACATGGTCCGTTGAACCCAAGTAAATAAGTATCGTGCCCACGCTGTTTATTTTCATTCGAGGAYGTATATACTACCATTAAAATACAAAAAACATACTCAAATATTGTAAATAAAGTTTAAAAGAACCCAAAGAAAAATTATGGGAGAAAATAACATCGCATATGATAGTATTTCTATAGGAAGTAAGTTAAATTCTTCTCACATTCGATTCTATTATCTGTTGCGTAATAAAAAAAACTTAAAACATGTAATTTTCAAGGATCTAATTAATATTTATTATTTTACATATTTTACAAGCATAACCATGTTTTTTGACTTGAGTCATAAATGTACAATGGTGACTTTAACTGAATAAATAAATCTGAAAAACTGAGACGGCCAATAAAAGTAAATGTCTCTTCAGCAACCTGACCGTGAATACTGAATATAATGTAACTCGCTTTACATAATAATATAGTATTCTTTAAATTGCTTAGGAATTGCACAAACCTTCTCACATTCAACCATGGAAAAAGTTATGTGGTAAAAAATTAATACTTAAATAATGTTTATCGGTGAATATTTTTTATACTTATGTACCTATTATACGAATAATAAATAATCATACAAATAAAATTATAAAATAACACGATAACAAAAATTTTATATATATATATATATATATATATATATATTTTTTTTTTACCTAAATCATAAAAAAAGAAATTTTTAATAAGTTTAACTTGAGTATGAAATAAAAATTAACTTAAAATATTTCAAATAACAAATAAACAAATTTATAACGAAGTTATATTTTTTAATGTAACCTACACAATAAAAACTATCACTGGAATTAAAACTACTATATTACTATGATATAATATACTTATATGTTTAAATAAATTATAATAAGCTAAAATTTTAACTTTTTTATCACTATAGTGTTATATTATATTCTTTTTAATACTGTTAAAAACTTTTTTCATCATTATTCATATGAAATTGCTATATTTAGATAAAAACTGTATCTAAAATAATACCAAGAATGAATTATCCTGAGCTTTGAAGTACCTATGACGTATAATACAGTAGGTACTATAGTAATAAATTAATAATATTACAATAATATAAACGTGCAATATGATGCTCATCACAAGGCAGTAATATAGTTAAAGATTACCTATTGGTCCGCGTTATTTTTAACCATAAATCAAATAACATATTACATTTTATTATTAATATGAGAATCATCTGCATAATGTTTCGCAATTTTTTATACGATATAAGTGATATAACCACAGCGTGCACGTTGTGGTTATAAATAGATTTTTAACTAATCGACGTACTTTTTTATAAATTATATATATATATATATTATATGTATATATTAACGATTTTCCTACTGTAGAAATCATTATCATTACAAATATTATGAAATAAATTTTAAAATAATTACTAATCTACTTATATCTAATTTATCTATTTATGATTGCTCGAGTGAACAAAAGGGTTTACACAGTACCTACTTAACAAAATACAACAGTTTCCATTTAAATCATTTATCATTTCTGACGAGCAATGTTTTCCAACACAATATAATTCATTTATTTTGTAATACAAACGAATTTATATAATACCTTAAAATCCATGGACCTTAAGAGTTAAGACCCGTTGCCGAAGAACTGCCTATTATTATTTAGTATACACTATAGATCACAGATGTACTTGTTATTAATATGAACAAACAATTAATCAAACTTATGTCTAATTAGGTTACGTTAATGTGGTTTATAAGTTTCTACACGCGACGAGAAAGCTATATATAATTGCCGGTTTTATAATATTATACTGCTGGTTTATACTATCAACAGCATTGAAATGCGCGATGTCTTCTGATGGTATTACGATATTCTAAGAAGAATTTTTAGTTATTATGAAAACATTATATATTAAATTATTACTTGTACATAAGTAGGGTATCTACTCTAATACATATTGTAATATTATTAAAACACACCAGCTGTCATCAATTGTTTGATATTAATTTATGACGTATCTATACTCATTAAATATTGTTTTTCGTTGACTTGAAACTGTACACAGCAACACTTAAATGCAATCATGCAATACGAACTTTCGTTAATAATTACTTTGAGACTTTGAATGGAGCGATGAATGTATTTGTTTTTCAGTTTTACAACCAAGTGTTTTATTTTTCTTATTGAGTGTGTTTGTGTGTATGTGATCACGTTTCTTTGTCAAAAACTATTGCTAATAAAATTGAGTTGTATCTAATGTATAGGCAACAGTTGGTTCAACCTTCTGTACAATAAAATACACTGTATTATAGACAAACAGATAGGAATATAAAGAAATTATAAAATATCCTTAAGATAATAAAAAAGCCGAAGTGTTAAACAATTTGTTTCTTGTCTCTGCTTAAAATCATCCTTCATAGGTACACAATTATTTATATTATTTAAATATTGTATTTAAACTTATTACAGTGATTTACTCAATGACAATATTCCATCGATATTTACTATGCTCCCGAGTGACTTCCCCGTTTTTTTCTTTGAAGTTTTAAAAGACTCTGCAGTTAAATGTTATTCACAAAATCGAAACCAGAGCGAATAATTATAATATATTTTTAGCGAAAGAAAAGTTCAAAACTTTCAGACAGAAAACTTTTTTCAATGTTTGTACTTTCAAATAGTGTTTGACGAACTTAACAGAACGCACATTTTTGTTTAAAAAAAAAAATCACGTAAATTGTTTAAAGCACACGGTAGATACAATACTTTTTGTTTAGCCAGAGTCTTGCTTTGAGATAATTTGTTAAATGGAGCAGGCTAACTAAGTTCATAATTTTGATATATCTGCTGATAACGTGTGATGTTTATAACATTTTATGATAATTTTCATTTTTCTGTGTATCAAAAAAAAAAAACACATAGTTCTTACTTATACCTAACATTATCTGATTTACAAAATGTCAAAAACTACTTAAATTTAGATGATTATTGTCAGGAAAACTTTAAATAAATAATAAACAAAAAATATATATAACATTTTATACTTTTGCATCCACATTCATACAAATTACAATTCTAGTACATGGTTATACGCGTTTTGCATGATACGTTCACAGAATACTGAACACACTTTTAAATTTCTCTGAATTTTGGGGATGGCTGCAGCTACCTTTTTAACGACCCCTACCTTCGGGAAAAATACACTAAGGATAAACAGTATTAAATTTTCAAATGTTTTAATTCTTGGCATAAAAAAATGTAGTTATATTTAGGATTTATTTTTAAAAATAACGTAAAAAGAAGGTTATAATGTAGAAGCATGGACAAATAATTATTATCAATTACGAGACTACGACAACACAATAACTTAAATTTTAATATAAATATTCTATGCTACAACTATCGTTAATAATTTAGACATTTTATTAAATTATYACGTTTATGGAGAAACACTGTAATACTAACTCATACTGCATTTAAATTATACAACAGCTTTTACTCAATAAAAATGTTTTGTCGAGGACGCCACTATTTATAACATTCACGATACGGGCGATAAAGGTACCTAGTATACCTACCTACATTATATTATTATTTATCTACTGCCATGTTTTTACAAAATAAATATACACGGAATGGTGTGTTTATACGGCGGACGACGAGGTTTAAATKGTACCTACATACGAGTTGTCGGTCAACTGATGATAGTATTAAATTTACATAAATATATTATACAGATAATCAACGTTATTCTTTTACCTCTTGCGCGAGGACATTTCCGGATCACAACTCTACCCCGCTTAACATAATACATAAATATATATTATAATATATTCTTCTTAAATCCATCAATCTTTRGTACCTATAACAGTGATCACTCTAAAAGACTATTATATTATCATAATTCATATTTCATAAGCGTACCTACGAATGAAATAAAACAACGTCGACCGTACAATTACCTCAAGTAGTCAAGTGTAAGGATTATAAAAACCCGCACAGCTCAATTCCTAGCAATTCTTTTGTTAATTGGACGATAAAAGTTATGAAATAATAAAAAAATATACCAATCAAATAATGCATTTCTCAACTGACCGTTTTGATTTATAGATGAGCTACCTAAATATTATGTTCATGTTCTCCTCTAATTATTTTTGATATCATTAAATGATATGAGAATTGAGCTTAAAATCAACAAAGTGCAGTCATCAATCATCAAATAAATTTAAATTGATTTCTAAGTTATAAAATCAGTGTATAATCGCAAGGATAAAAAATATTTTATAAATATTGTGAGGCTATTTGTATTATCTTATGAATGTTTTTAATTGTTGAGTGGTTATTCTAACTGTTTTATTTTTACACACGATATATTATTACTATATATTATGACGTACGGTAGCATAGCACAATTTAAGTAGGTTGAATACTTGTAAGAGCTTAACTAAAAAGCAGATAAAATATTATGTTTTCCTCCCCAGGAATACGTAGGTATTTTAAGTATATATCAATCAAATGGTCAGGTGGCCAAAATTTATAAACGTATMGTATAACATTTTTATTTTTTAATGTTAATATTATATACAAAACGTTTAATTTACAGTTTTGGAAATAATTCGGACCTTCCCTCTGCATCACTCTTACCATATTAAACCACAATTAACAGCTAAACAAAATACGATTAAGTGGACGCTACCCATGCGTGTATTGTGTCCATGTTACAAAAGTAAAACATTTATCCGATTAGAGTTCAGCAGAACCATTTTGTGTTTTTTAGCTTAAAATAAATCATTGTGAATTCGCCTATATTATTATCAATAAGTAAAAAATAATATGATATAGTAACATTATCTGCGCTCGAGTGTCGAATTTTTTTGATATTTTAATATTTTAATAAGATGTATGAATGATTATTTAGAAATATCACAAATTAAAAACACTCTTACATCTTAGTTAAAAATTAAAATTAAAAAAAAATCAATGATTAACAACATAAAATTGGTTCAGATAAACTAATATTATATGATACATATATTACATGTTTTATGCGTTTTCAAGATGAAGACTACAGTCCTCTCCAGTGCTCGAATACGAAAAAACTAAGTAGAGGCGCTCCAATAGCTCAATCCAATGATTAAGTATAATATTATTATAGCTTTCACAATTATTATTTAAATATACATTTCATTAAAAATTATTTTGRAACATTAKTTCGTGCCGTGTTCCGGTCCAAGTAAAAAAAAACTAAATAAATAAAAATAGTAAAAGAGCTCCGCCTACATGCGCACCACTTCCCGTCAATATTCGAGCACTGGTCCTCTCAAGTGCATTCGCACGCAGCTCTATAATGATAATATTCTATTGTTATGCACATACGCATATACAATAGCAGTTTAATCCGTTCACTTGTAATTGCGATGTTAACAGAGAAACAGTGTTTTTTGTTGTGTACTGACAGGAAACGGTGTTACGGTGTTGTGGCGGCGACAGCAGCTGGAGTGCCGATGGATGGACCGGAAGCAGTCAACGGCGTCCGGGGCGCTGGTCGCGAAGGAGGCTGCGCAGTGACTCGTCCGAACCGGCCACCGACGACCGCCGACCAAAGTATAGGCGCGTGTCCGGGCGGGCGACATCGTCCGTTGAGCTGCCCGCCGACGACGACGATGAAGTTGTTTGCAATGGCCGAGGTCATCACGTCGCCGGCGCCGGATTCACCGACTGTTGGCGGCGGGCGCTGACGGGATCGGCGGCGGGCGGAAATGCCAAACGACGCAACGACAGCAGCTGCAACAGTGTCGGAAGTATTGGCGGAGTTAATGGCGGCGACGGCGACGACGACGACGACGACAATACCTCTACTACGTCCATGCAGCTTGGTGTGGCCTGCAGCCGTGGACCGCAGACGGTTAAAGTGCCGCCGGCGGTAGCGCTCAGYAACTGGGCCGTCATCAGCAACAGTAGCCTCAAGGATGTAGACGGCGACGACCTGCGCGACGAGCTAGTCGGTTACGTGGCAGACGCGTCAGTGGCAATCGTTGGCAGCCAAAACGGCGTTGCCCTCGAGTATTACTGAGAGACGATATAGCAGGGTTCGTTCGCTCATAGGCGCAACTAGGTGTGGGCATGGTATCGGAGGGCCGACTCAACTCAGCCCCCTGCCCAAATGTAATGTATTGAATAACAAGTCAAGGAAAATGTTCTCGTCGATGATATACATGTACAGTATTGGCCGAGGACCGTGCGAGTATACCGCAAGACTGTTTCTCAAATTTGGCTGATGCTTAGATTTGTTGTACCATGTATAGGCTTATGTCTTGTGCTCGTGTGGAAAAATATCAGCTTCGTTTTTTTCAAATGAGAACCAACCTTTTTTTACTGTAAATCATTATGCTGTCTCTATAAGTATAATATATTTAAAAACTCCAACATACATTATTATAAGAATAATTAAGGTTGAACATGCTTGGTAAACCGTGTGGAATAAATATTGATGAAATCGCATATTTCTTACTAGCCATCCACAAATATAACAACTCAGTAGGAGGGTATTTTCATTGCAAATTTATAAGGAGAAAACACGAGGGCTGCAGGCATACAGACATACAGGCTTTMCCCAAAAATTCAATCCTAGTTGCGCTTGTGGGTTCGCCCCTCAGTGGTATATTATGTTTGTCTTAAATMTATTAAATCATAAGTTGCATGTTTGTATAGTATATCACATTGAAAAGTACCAMTTACCTACCTGATGTCAGTGTGAGTGTGTGACTGTATCTGGTAAAACATATTTATTTTCCAACATCTATTATTGTTTTTCCCATAATCAGTGTATACAAACATCATAATTACAATACAATATAAAATTATACATTATTTTTTTGTGCCATTGAAGTATTGTAGCGTTGTCGTATTAAGTTATTATCATTATGATTATAATTATATGTAATCCCCTTAAAAAAAAAAAATTATATGTAATGATGTAATACTACACACTGTTATTTTTTTTTAACATAAAGGCTTCAATTACTAGGATTATAAGCTTAAAATTACAAAATAACATGGGGTTACAATATAGAAGGTGAAATTATCATTATTATTATTATAGGAATACAATGAAAAATATAATAAATATGTTTACAGTATTTTTTAGTAAAAGGCAAAATATTTTTTCGATTTGAAAGGAAACCGCAGTTATAAAAAATTTCATACTTAAATAAGAATTAMATTTTTTTTTAATTATTAATGAATTCCATAATAAATCCATTTAATATAAAAAAATAAACAACATACTTATTTACGTTTATTTTGCTATAACCAATAAGTCATACTCACATAAAGTGAACATTATACAAAAAGGAATTGAAACAATTATAAAATGTAATTAAAAAATGAAAATTCGTAAAAGTATAACAACACAATGTCATATACGCATCACTGGTCATTACCATTAAGTGCGGTTATTTATAGCATTTTCCACCACACTGTACCAGTGCATATTTTAATATTCCATCGGAAATATTAATGTGCACTGAGTGGACTTTTTTATGTTTCACCTCAATGCACCACGCTATAGTTTTTTGCACCCAGTTGCACCCAGTTGTATAGTTTTTGCATCCAGGAGCTCATGAACCTTGTTATTATCATGATAAATACCACAATACCATAGATATTAAAGGATTTTTTTTTCAATACCCATTAAAGATTTTAGTATCTTTATATATATCTGTGATAAATATAGGTTTTATGTTTTATCTACACTTGCACCAACCCGCGGTAGGACGATTATCAATGAACTTTACCAATGTCACCTTGGTGCAATGGTGCAGTATAGTGAAAAATTCTATTAGAAAAATGTGCCAATAAGTRATCCTATAGGATATAAATAACGGCTTCTWATATTATATTACAGTGGTTCCCAAACTTTTTTTGCTCTTTTTGAAACAATGAGTTTACATGGTGCCCCTCATAAAAAATAATAATAAACCAGAAKAATTTGTAATATATATTATGAAAATATTTATATAATTGTAATTGCAATATGTTATAAGACATTATTTATATATAACATTCTACGGCAGCGCRGCACATCTGCAAAGACACAAAGTTTAGGAACCGATTTTATATTAYATTATATGATTTTTGGCGTATGGTATTTAAGTATAATATAATCATATACCATACTACTGTATTGGCTACCACCTTTTTTAGTGTATTAGACGCACCTATAGGTGCTATATACAACGATTATGAAAAAATACGGAACGCTAAAAATTTAACATAATCAATTTTTGTCAGTGACACAGTTGACGAGGTATAAATATGATTATAATATGACCAACTCGTGGGAGGCTACTCCAAACACAAATAAACTTAAGGAAATCAATCCATGGATAACCCCCTCACCTTCATCCAGGCATGAAGAAATAGTCATCACAAGGTCTCGAATTGGACACTCCCATCTAACGCACTTATACCTTATTAACAAAGAAGACTGCCCGGCCCGCATGCGACAAACAATTGACAATTAAACATATTACTCTTGAATGCCCCAAGTTCAACACCTCCAGAAAAATYCTCGGAAATCCATCATCGATGAATCAAGCACTTGGAGAAAAGAACTGAAAAAATATATATAATTTTTTCACAAATTATAGGTTAATCAAAATTAATGTAATTAAAAAAAAAAAAATTGTACATAATATATTTTACAYCCCCCTTAATCCAGAATAATAAAATTTTTGTAAAATGTTGCGAAAAAAATAAAACTTGAATTATTTTCTTTATTACAACTTGAACATAGTCGTGACTCTCATTTTGATTTTATACCATGTAAATGAAAAATTGAAAACAGTGTATGTTTTTAAACGATTTTAAAATTYAATATATCAACAAAAATATAAAAAGCAATATTTACTCAAAATCAAAAAACGATTWAGTCACTTACGTTTTAACATCGCAGTTCGCTTTAAAAAACTATTGTGTTGAGGTTCACAGCGATTTCAGCTACCATTTCTATCAAAATGATCGCCATATTTCTCAAACATACACCATATTTATTCATGGACGTCAAGTCAACTTGATCGAATATTAAGGGTAA